TCTAGGAATACTGACTCAGGGAGGATGATCTGACTGAAACCCTCAAGAAGCCACAGGGGGTCATGGATCCCAGCTTCAGGGCTGGGCTGCGCTGGGCAGCAGAATGAGTTCAGTTTCTCCTAGAACAACTATATGAAGGGCTGACATCTTTCATAGCAATTTCAGTCCATGGCCAAGATACCCACAAGTGGACATCTTATTTCCAGAATTAGCGCTCACAGGTGCTCAGGCCCATATGACTTGCACTTGATGTCACTTTCAAAAGATGAGCTGGCCCAGATATGGGTATAGGAGCAGCAGCTAAGACAGGCAGACAGCACCAACGATGGCCACTGGAGATGAGTGAGAAGTGGGTGGTCTCACAGCCCCTCATGAGGAAGGAGAGGCTGTAAAGACCCAATGACCCTCCACCACTCAAGTTAAATGCAAACTGCTTGCTTTCCCCGTGACTTCCAGACAATCAGGTTCTCTGAGCTTCTCTCTGGACCTGCTGGCCTGCCTGCGCTGTCCTGCTCCCCACAAAAGCCTCTGCCACCCCCCTGCCCCTGAGTCTTCCAAACAGTACCACACTGCGGAGTGGACACCAAGAGTGAGAAGGGGTGGTACACCACGTGGGTATAACTTGGTCAGGGAGCATCTTTCGGGAGGCCTAGCCCCGTCCCCGGTGCAGCTTTGTCTCCTCCCGCCTAAGCTCTCGGACAAGTACTAACGCCACACACCACCTTGGCTCTGCATTGTCAGCAGCAGAGGCCCACCATACACGGTCCACCATACACCATACAACTTCCTACTCTCAACCCGTGGAAGCACCAGGTAAAAGAAATGCAGGGAGTCTATAAACTCAAACTGTCTGGGCCCTCCACAAGTGTCACCTTCCCAAGGACAGAGGAATTAGCGGAGCCAAAGTGCACCTTAATATCCTAATTCAATGCATGAGTCTATATACTGGGGCTTGGCTCAGTGTCTTCCCCCGCCGCCTCCATCTGTCATTTTGGGACAGATGAGAAGTCTAAGTCACTACCCATTTGAGGATCACAACTGTTGCACGTGGCCGAGAAGATGTCATAATTGCTCTCGGGAAGCACACGCTGGAGTATTAATAAGGGGTGGAGTCTTGTGAGAGTTCCCCATCCACACTGGCGTGCCAAGCAGGGTTGTCCTTGCTCAGGTCTTGTTTAGGTGACCATATTGAGATTTCACAGGGCAGCTTTCCTGTCCTATATAGATGACACAATCTCACAGCAAATGTCCTGTTCCTCTGGTTTGTACCCTGCCACCCACCCCCCACCGTGATGTTCCCTGACCATCTTATGGATGAATAGTTATAACAATACTAATTAAAGCAAAAGAGAACCTGAAATTGGGTGAGTAGGGAGATGGGGAGGATGTGGGGGAAGGGAAGAATAGGATCAAAACATTGTGTGAACGTTTCAAAGAATTAATAAAGTTTTTAAAAGAATAAGCTAAGGGAATCATGGCGAAAACAACACACACACACACAAGAAGACACACTAGGGCGTCAAGCTGGCATATTAACAAAGTTCTCTGTATGGTTCTAGAAATTATTCAAAATGGAAAGCTGCCACCAATTCCCACGATATAGAGCATGCATGTTCGAGTGACAGCTGCCTGCAGAGCCGCCCTGGGAGTCCAGCAGTCAGAGGTGTACTGGACTGGGCATTCACTTGTGACCTCCTCTCCTTATGTGGCCTCAGTGACCACAGCTCCGCCTCACACTGTCCCACTCTTCTCGAATGTACCCAATGCACAGCAACCACAAAAAGGCCTCCATTCCCCTAGGTGGTGACTTGGCAAGACATCCTGTCAGGCTTTGTAAGGTTGGAGGCAACAAAAGCTAACACTAGAGAGAAGATATCCTGCCCCGGTGCACACGCAAACGCTAACACTTGAGAAGACAACCACCCTGGTGCACACACTAAATTTCAGAGGCTTCGGTGCATCCTGTCAAGAAGGCAAGCGATGGGTACCAGCTCAGCAATAGGTCATCTGAAGTCATTATTCTCCCACTTCCTGCCTGGCTTCCTGTCCCGTGTTCAACAATGGACCATTCGTGTGATGACAGACAATGGGCTGCTCTTCCAACCAGCAAGACTGGTGGCTGCAGCTTTTGAGGTCACTGTGTCACTGTCTGAGTTTGAGGGTGACACTTTGAACTGGCTGCCGACACCTACCATTGGGAGTGTATCTGCCTCATTTTAGAGGAATTAGGGTCTAATTAGCATCTATTCCTCCCCCGCTGCCCCCCAGCCAACTAAGGAAGCTTTAAAGCTTTATTAGTGACTGCACTTCAGCATTGGGTTAAGACATGCTAAGGGTTGGCGAGACGGCTCAGCTGGTAGGAGCCCTAGTCACAGAAGTTCCCTTGTCTAAGTTAGACCCTGCGACCCACATAAAAACGCTGGATGTGGTGGGGTGTGCATCTGTCATCCCAGCACCAGTGAGGTGAGAGGCAAAGGAATGAGAATCGCCCGGAAGCTTGTAGCCTGCTAGTTCAAAGCAGAGAACTACCTGTCAAAAGTTGTTCTCTGACCTCTACACATGCACAGCGGCCTCAAAGGTGTATACGATCACACACACACACACACAAATGAAAAAAAAAGATACACAAAATAAAATCTAAAGTCTTGCAAAATAGTACAGTGATGTTTATTTACATTTACCGTGTTAAAAGGATGGGAAATAATAAAGTCACATCAGATGCAACCATCACAAGACACATCCTTAAACATGCAACCATGAAATAACGTTATCAGGAAAGCAGGAGGCCAAGCACACACACACACACAGCCATGGAAGAATCTGAGACGGTACATAGTGCCATCAGTACAGAACCTGAACCATCACCTGGATGCCCTCCCTGAGGGGCCAACCAGAGGATGTGATAGCTCTCACTCGCTACCCCCGACTTGGACCATCCTCAGCCATTCACAGTCCCCAGGGAGCTGCTTCAAGCATGCCCATCTGGGAGGGCCTCCTCGGCCTCTGCCCATACCTTATGATTTAAAATGAAACTTGCACAAAAATATCCATCAAACGCCTGGTTCTGCAGACAAAGGCTTCGATATGACCGGAGAGTAGGGTGCTGTGTGAACTCCTCTCAGTGTACAAACCCCAGCAGTACAAAGACCTGCCCATAGCCACGTCCCTCCTGAAACACCCTCACCCACAGGCATCATAGCCAGTTCCTATCCAGACTTAGTCTCTGGCAGAAATGGCATGTGTGGTGGTTTGAAAGAAAATGGCCCTCAAAGGGAATGGTACTTTTAGGCGGAAGTGTGTCACCGTGGGAGCAGGCTTTGAGGTCTCTTTTCCTCAGGCTTCCCTCAGTGTGGCAGTCAGCTGACTTCCTGTTGCCTGAGTCAAGATGCAGGACTCTAGCTCCAATACCACATCTGCCTGCATGCCACCATGCTCCCTGCTGTGATGAAAATAAACTGAACCTCTGAAACTGTAAGCCAGCTCCCTGAATTAAGCGTTTTCATTTATAACAATTGCCACGCTCATGGTGTCTCTTCGCAGCAATAAAAGCTTAAGACAGCCTGTCCTCCTGGACTCTGAACCCAACTCCAGCCCAAGACTAAAATGCAGTCCCTCACATTCTTGAGGAGCCTCCTGCCCTTTACCTCTGTCCTCAGCAGAAGGACCAGGCTCCTGAACGTTCCATGGCCTCATACAGTCAGCAAGTCCAGTCCTCACAGAAACACTGAAATCTCTAAAGAATCCAAGGCCGAGGGATTAGTGGATGTAACTTTAGTGGTAAATTATGAAATCAACCATTCTTCCCCAAAGATTGCCATTTTGGATCTAGGCTTAGAAGGTATTTATATTCTGTGAAGAGATCCATGTCAGCGGGCAGATGCCAGGCTTATGTCAACTAAACACAATATTGTGAAAAATTCCTCAGCCCATTCATCAACGTGACAGTTCCCATTTAATGACAGAAGCGTAACTATAGCGCGTGCGCACGCACACACATCCCCCAACACACCCCATGGAAAAGCAGGAAGGGGAACTGAAATTATTCTCAAGGTTCGGGACTCCCTGACAAATCTGCTTCTCCTCAGTGGGGGTGGGAAGGGGCAGGGTGGTGGCAATGGTGGTGTCCCTGTGTGTCTGAGGGAGGTCTGAGTAGCCCTGCAGGCAGAAAATGAGAGCCCAAACTACTCATGGGGAGCACTCACTTACTTTGGACCCGCTGGCTAATTAGAAAATGTCTATATAAAGACAGAAACACCTCAAGGTCCTATGCCTGACATCTCTCCAGAGAGAAGAGAGGTTTCATTTGAATGAAGGAGAAAGGAGCCAAAGTTACTTTAGGACACATTGTTAAGAAACTGGTCATCCCACCCACAGCCATCCTGAACCTTAGAATCATAAAGCCTATACCCTCAAAAGTGAATTCCCTGGGAAAGGGGGCACCAAACGGACAAATGTCTTCATTCTATCAGGTGAGCACCAAAACGGTTTTTAAACGTACTGCTGCTAAAGAAAATGATGAACTAAGTTAATTATTATTATAACTAAAGTCAGGAACATACCTGAGAAGTCTATGGAGCAGCCAGCCAACCTTATTTAACCTCCGCGAGGTTCACGTCGTAAGCTATTGATTACCGCTCTCCTAACATTTCAATAACCCACTGTGCAACATCCCTGGCACCCCTTGCTGGTAGTCCTGGCTGAATGACAGTCTAGACTTTAATAGCTCTACACATGGAGAAGCACCTTACACGAACTGAAAACTAAGTGCTCCATATTTACAAGGAACTATTTCAAGATGTACATAAATAACCTTTTAAAGGAGTTTTAATCCCTTTAAATATGCTGAGGTCTCTTGCACATAAAACACCTCTTGCAGCTTCACACTGTGCCTTAGCTAAAGGCAAGCACCCAGATGCGGCAGGAGCAGACTTAAGGAGAGAAGTGATGTAGCCCGCAGCTTGTCAGTCTCCTCTCCCATGGGGGTGGGGAGGGGTCCTTACCCTCCTCGCGTAAGATTCGTTGAACTCGTCTCCAATCCGCCGGAGCTCCTGTGCAATCCAGATCTCAGGGCGAATATCTGCAGGTTCCTCCTGAGACTGCCTTATGGAAGCTGTAAGGGCACAAAAAGACCAGAAATCATGCCAGGGTCCACAGCACTGAGAACATCACACATGAGTTTCTAGGAACAAACCCATCTCACACACTGCCGTCTTTCGGGAAGCCCCCTGGCTTTCAGGGACTCTCACTCCGGTGCTGAGAACCATGAAGGAAGCATCATCTTAGTCAGTGGCCTAGGCAGCTTTCTGCTGCTGAGGAACCGGTTTATTTGGCTCTCACAGTTGATCACAGTCCATCAAGACGTCAAGGAGCAGAGGCAAAAGAAGCAACAACGTTGCTTACTGGCTAGCTTCCCATGGCCTGCTAAGCCTGCCTTCTTATACAGCCCAGGGCCACCTGCCCAGGCTGGCCCTGCCTGCAGCGGGCTGGGCCCCCACATCAATCATTTATCAAGAAACTACCCCAGAGATTTCCCTGCATGCAACCCAAGGAAGGGAACTCCTCAATTAGGATTCCCTCTTCCCAGGAGACTCTAGCTTGTGTCGAGTTGACCGACACAACAAAGCAGAACCAACAGTCAATGTAGAAGTGACAAAGAATTAACGTCACAGAATTGGAGACTCAGACTTACAAGAACTAAATCATCCTGGCCCAGCCACACATACTCCTACTCCAAAAAGAGTCCTCAACAGCACGGTGGAGATCACCAAAGAAACACGACAGTGACCGGTGATGCGGCTTAGTCGTGAAGGCACCTGATGCCACCAAACCTGACAAGCTTTATTTCCGTCCCCAGAATCTACAAGGTGAAGGCAGAGCACTGACTCCACAGCTGACTTCTGCCTTACCCATGAACACAAAGTAAATGTAACAATGATGAAAAAGAAGTAAGTAGCCAGGTGGTGGCGGTGCATGCCTTTAATCCCAGCACTTGAGAGGCAGAGGCAGGCTGATCTCTGTGAGTGTAAAGCCAGCCTGGTCTACAGAGGGAGTTCTAGGACAGCCAGGGATATAGAAAGAAGAGGAAGGAAGGAAGGAAGGAAGGAAGGAAGGAAGGAAGGAAGGAAGGAAGGAAGGAAGGAAGGAAGGAAGGAAGGAAGGAAAGAAACTAGTGATAAAGAACTTGCCTAGCATTCATGGGGTCCCAAGGGCCATCCCTAGAACTACATTAGAAAAAAAAGATAAAACATAAGAGAACATAAAATTTTAGTTCCTCTGTAAAATACCCACAATACCCACTTTGGTCTTAGAACAAGGCACAAATTCCTAGGAACAACTCAAACCCAATGAAACGTGGAAACCTGAGCTGCTCAGAAGATGGCTTTCTACAGAAGCAGGGCCAGTGACACCAAGAGCTCATCCAGACGGGAGCGGCATCAGCCCATCTCTGGGTGTTGTAGTTCCACTGTTTCCCCCATAGACACTGAAGAGGGATATCTAGCTTCAACTCTGGGGTTGGGCGGGTGTGTGGGGCAGAGATAGATATATGCTTTATTTATGAGGCTGGTGGGATGATCGAACTTGCTGGTCAACTTACCTAATGTTCGTTATGGGGCAAGATTCACTGTTTTACTCAAGGAAATGACTGTGAGCCATGTGGTTCTAGGAGGCCAAGCTGAGGTCTCATGGACCTGAAGCTCTTGTGGACGAATTTCTTTTCTCTCCTCTCTCTTCTCCCCTCCCTCCCTTCTCCCCTCCCTCCCTTCTCCCCTCCCTCCTTCCCTCCCACCCTCCCCCTCTCTCCCTCCCTAGACAAGGTCTTATGCACCCAGGCTGACCCTGAATTCCTGATCTCTTGCCTCCACTTCCCAAGTGCTGGGGTTACAGGTGTGTGTCACCAATTGTCTGGACTCAAGATGCAACATGGTTCACACTTTGGTCTTGGGCTGTTTAAAACCTTCAGAAAATTGCTTGAGTTCTCAGCAACGCCTTCTGAACTCAAAGAAGCTGGCCTGCTTTGAGCCACCTGATCTTTCCTGCTGGCAAGGGACATTTGGGGATGGTTCGACTTCCTCTCTCTTGACTGGATCCTCTCATGAAGCAGCATGACCTTCCCCATGCCTCTCATGTCTGCTGCGCTGCTGTTCTTTACACACGGAGAGAATTATGCTTTAATAAGCATTGCCAGCTTCTCCCACTGTAACACGAAACAGTGACTAACTCTGATGAATGCCTCCACACTGTAAAAGAAGCCTCCTGGCATTCTAGCTAATTCTTCTCTCACATGTATGCTTCAGAAGGTGCTCGGTTTCACACTTGGCTGGGAACTTAAAAAGCCACTGAAGGAGCTAGCCTGGGTCACAAGCTGACTTATCAAAATTTGCACTTAGCAAGCACACCAACCCTGCTAGCAGCTATGGCTCTCTGGTGGCCAAACTCAACTTGTTTAGAGATAAATGCCTTGTTGTTTGAGGAGATAAGCAGCCAGCCTGTTTCTCCCATAAAGAACAGTTCAATGGCTGTTAGTACAAGTAAGTACACAGATATAAATAGATTCCTACAGCCCATCAGGGAGGCTCAGGGTGGGAGAGAATGGAAGACCACAGACCAGATTCTGAAGAGAAAAAAACAAAAAACAAAAACAAAACAAACAAAAAAACCCAGAAAAAACAAAACCAAACACTGAACCAAGGACCAGAAACAGTGGCAAGCCTGGGGCCCTGATCTGTGATTTCTAAGAGCACTTAAGAGTCAAGAGGGTGTATTAACCCAAGATAATGATTAGACTAAGCTTAGTCTACACTGTAATCGGCAGGCAATAGCTCTGGGTTAGTAGGCAGGCTACCAGCTGTACTTAGGTGTAATTTTCAAACGCTGTTACAAAACAGCGATGGACCACTCACAGAGGAGGCTGGTGTAGCTCGGACTCGCTAACATACCACCCAGCCTGTGTGTGTGTGTGTGTGTGTGAGACTACGTAGCCCTAGCTGAGCTGGGACTGCCTATTTAGGCCAGGCTGGCCTCAAACCATCTGCCCCTGCCTTCCAAGTGCTAGGATTAAAGGCGTCACCATTCATGTCTGGCTGGTGTTTTGTGTTTTTAAAGATCAAGAAGCTGATTTCTTTTTTTCTGTGATGCTAAAGATCCCAAGGCCTCCAATGTAATGGTCAAGGGTTCTACTAATGGAGCCACAGCCTCCAGGATAGTTGTGCTTTTAGATTTTTATTTACTTTTATTTTACGCATGTAGCTGTCCTTGCCTGCATGTACTTACCTGCACTGTGCATGACTGGTGTCTGGGGAGGCCAGATGAGAGTGTCAGTTCCCTTCAAACTAGGGTTACAGATAGCTGTCAGTTGCTATAAGGGTGCTGGGACTTGAACCCTGGGCTATCTCTAGCCCCTTTGGTTTTTTTTTTTTTTTTTTTTTTTTTTTTTTTTTTTTTTTTTTTTTTTTTTTTTTTTTTTTTTTTTTTTTTTTTTTTTTTTTTTTTTTTTTGTTTTTTTTTTTTTTTTTTTTTTTTTTTTTTTTTTTTTTTTTTTTTTTTTTTTTTTTTTTTATGGGAAGCAAATACTACTCCTCTGATCTAAACTGAAAATTAACGGCTAGTATCTGCTCCACGAGGCACAGGTAATATGCACACAGTAGATATGAACTAAGCTAGACTCTACGGTTAGCTGTGCACTTAAAGAAAAGCCCTCTGGGGATGTCTGTGTGTATGAGCACATGAGATTATGCCAATGTGTGCGGTCCAGAAGATTGAGGCGAGTGTTACTCTCCATCCTTCTCTGCCCTTCTCTGCCTACTGCTTTTGGAGGCAGGGTCTCTCCCTGAACCCAGCTCACATTCTCCTCCATGAAGTCGGAACCCAGAAGACTTCAGCAGTCCTGTCTCTGCCTGTACTCCGAGCTGGGGTCACAGGCATGTGCGCAGACGCCTGGGCTGTGACTCAGGTGTGGGATCTGAACTCTGGTATTTATGACTTTGGCAGCTTAACCAGTGAGCCATCCCTTCAGCCCCAATATACTAAGTTTATAACAAAAAAAAAATCCTATTTAGAGTATTTTATAAGGCATCATCTTCCTTTGTATTAAAGGCTTACTAGTTACAATTAATATGGTATGCTGCTTAACAAGATATCTTACACATATATTTTCCTTGGAGTATAGGGATGGGGTGCAGGGAGGCTTCCTGCTGAGCTCCAGTTTTATGCTAGTGAGTGCCCTATGAGAACAAAGCAGAGCACAGAATGGTCCAGCTCATCCCTTCTACACAGTGCAGGTGAGCTAGAAGCGAGGTCTTCATTCCCAAGGCGGAGTGGCTCAGTTTCCTCCCACAGTTACCCTGAGCACCGACGACCACAGCTGTGGTACACAGACACCACAGTTGTTGATCTTCTGAAGGTGCACCTGGAGCCTGTGGGCTGGAGACCCAGGGCTCTGAGAGCATGCCACCCCACCTCTTGATTCCTGTCACCCTGTCCTGCATGCACCCGCTTACTAGAGATATGCCTGAGAATTATAAATGTTCCCACGTGTTCATGGAAAAGCTGTTTTTCAAAGCCCCTCCAAGCAAGAGGGCCACAGTTCTAAACCAATGAGGACTTTTTACACGCAGATAAAAATTCTTCAAAGGGGAAATTCTTAAGTCACAGTTGCAACCTCAGAACAGTTTCAGTATTTAAGAAATGTTTCACTCTGTGAACCTGGCATGAGTGTGCATGCACACACACACACACTCCAAGCAGATGAAGTGTATGAGACCACACATGTACTATGAAGCTGTGACTTGCAGCCAGACTCCAGCCCTGCAGGCCACTAGCCTGCACCAGAGGGGACTTCCCAGGCTCAGGGTTGTTCCTCTTTACTGTTAACAAATCCAACTATTAAAACTTTCTTATGTGCTGGGTCAGACACATGCAGCTTTGCCAAGTGTCCTCTGCCTGCTGAGTTTTCATATAACTCCAAGGAAAAATCTTTTGAAATCCTAAACATGATTTTTCTATGTGGCACGAAACCAGTTCATGTTTCTACGCAGGAGCAGGGGAGGGAAAGGGCCTCAGTGATGCAAGATGTGGGTCACTTGGTCAAGAGTTTTCCAACTCATAAGGCAA